CACCTATTTTCGGATACTTATTGTGCGGGATAATTATACTACAATAATAAAGTGCCCCACCCTCCAATTACTAAGCTATCAAGGGTGCCATTATGGCGCTTTCCGGAGGGATGAGTGGGTTTGCCAGTCCGCCTTTCTGCCCCGTTCTCACCGCCGCCAGTTTCAGCTGAAAACGGAAGTCAATCGCGAGAATAGGACCCCAACCTATCAGTAGGCGGTCACTCGCCAAACCAATATTCCAACGTACCGGTACTTGTGTGGGTCGCCTGAAACAACCAACACACCCCACCCGATAAGAGGACAGACACACCCTCTCCTTTATCCACCTTGTTACTTCTTAAAGTACCTCCGCAAAAGTGTTGGTGAAATGACCTTTTTACACCAAAAATTGGCAGGTTTGATCAACCCCCACACCTAGAATTGCTTCAAATAATCCTTGCAACCCATATAATTATTTTCACCTTCACTGCAGCTTTTACCTGACACCATTTATTTTGTCAATTTATTCTATAGGGCTAAACTACAAGTCTCCAAAGTTGACAATACCCGTTGCTATGCCATTTTTGTATGTAAAATGAAGCTTTTCAGTGAAGTCAAAACTTTAGGACTGCATAACTTCTCCAATTCTTCCCCAAAGTTATTAAGAGTTGAATAGGAGTAGGGTGGGGTTATTGTAACTACATACTAGAAGTCAGGTTGTAAAATCTTTTGTGGTTCCTAAACTAGCAGTGGCGAAAAATCAATGTTTTTGGTTTAAAAAGCCCATTCCACCAACACTTTTGCGGAGGTACTTTATCAAAACAGAATCACCTCAATCACGAGTGATCTTCTGTCCGCGCTCAACATCTGCAAGACGGGGAGTCCTCACGTACCGGCTCTCACGTACCCATCACGCTCCCCGCGTCCCATAACAACTACTAACAATCTCCAACATTTCCGGTTTGCCACCGTCTGTACCGGGGATGGGCCCAGGACCCCGCCTGTGGCAGGCGAGAAAGAGGGGGGGTTGGCAAAGGCGTTAGGCTAGAAGCGGCCTTCCGGAATGCCGGGATTTCCCCTTCCTTTTCTGTTGTTTCGGGTAATAGTTTCGAAAGGGTAAAATAAAAAGCTCACTTGTGCTTTTGGGGTCCGCACAGCCATTGGTAGAAAAATATACTGTTCCACCATCTATCACTCGCTTCTCCCCGTTGCTGCCCCCCCCCCCCCCCATTCGTTGCCCACCGATTTCCGTGTGCGCCTCCGGAAATGATATTATTGCCGGTCACCGTGCCACGTCCGCCATAGAATCTAGACGTATCATTATGAACAAGAAAATGTCTTAAACGCTATAGCACCTGCTAGCTCATAAACACCAGATCTACGAGAGGCCATTCCACCGGTACCAGGCTTGCCGGATTCGCTGACGTATCTACTCGGACGGCCGAGTCGAGGTTAGATTCATTCTCCCGGAGTTGCTACACTGGCTGGACAAATTCAATTCGGCCGTGCGAGTAACTCGGCTCGTGAATTGGACCAGTGCACTAAGGCAAGATACAGGTAGCGGTAACTCTCCCCATGCCGTAAATTCTGGTACCGGTATCCCTCCCGGGCCAGCAGGTAATGAGATTACTGGGGCGGCAACCTTTAAAATTCCGCTAAACTGAGCAAGTACCCCTCTCCTTCGTGTGTAGATGTGCGATAGCTGAGTCGATCGGTTGCTCCGCGCGTTGAGCAGCAATTTTTTCAAGTAAAAATTTAGCCCTCACGGGAGGTCAAATTCAGGCGATATCACTTTGTCTTTTTTGTTTTTTTTGAGGTTGTTGACTGTGGTGTCGGAGGGGGCAAGTTGGTTGCCGCACGGGTCGCTTTTTTTTTCCCGGGCCCTTGTCCTACCGGTAATGCATATGCACCGTATGAGTGCGTCGTAATCGGGCGGGCCCTTGGACCAGCGTTGTTGGTATCATACCTGAACGTCCACCGTGAAAGTACTGTACTCGTACAGTACTGCCTCTGTGCGTATGCGCCGACCGGGACACAGCGTGAGATCGGCCAATGGCGCAATTTGGCACAATTCAATTGTTAAGAATGAATGAACCAGGGTTCCTGCCGATGTCTTGCATAGGGATACCGGGGGTAGTAAGCGAACTTCACAACCTTCCTCCACTTGGGACCCCTCAGCACCAAGGTCGCGCCGCGGGTGGAGATATTCTGCCCGACCTACCAAAGGGAATGCCCCAGTGTGGGCGCACACCGCGAATTGGGCCCGTGGATAGTTCCCGGTGTGCCCATCATCTCATTCTCTCTCTCTCCCCCTTCCCTTCCTCTCTTTGCGCCCCCTCCCTCCCACAAGTAAGCCCCGCTCGCAGTAAATGTATAGGTATAATTCAATACCTTTGAAAATGGTATGTTGCCTAATGAATGAAACAAGCTAACTCCAAAGAAAAACACCATAACCAGGTAGCAGATGCGGCGGGGGAAAAGAGGCAGAGGCCCAAAGGCTCAGGAAAAAGGAAAGTAAACATATAACTCAGCAGAATCTAGGGGACGAAATATTCCGCGCCTTAGCTGTATTCCCGAACCCTACCGCTCAGGTGTGAGTACTATTACTAGTACGGTACCGGTATTTTACCAATCCTTGTACCCTTCCCTTTTCTTCTCCTCTAGTCTCTGTATAGCTCTGGGCACGATGGTACAAAAGTTACCCTCCGTATTCCTGTTGAGTTTTCCAAACGAGGTCATTCGATTCAGCCCGGCTTTAGGGATTCTCCTCTATGCAATCCCCGTAGGGTATCTCAGTTAAGCAATGCCTGTACGGTGCTCGAGTACGGTATTCCCGGAAGAATGGGTGCGTTCCCAGTGATCCTAGAAGCCTTGGCCCTGGAGGAAGAAAAGGTGGGATTCCGACCAGTCCGATTCCCCGGGCTACACCCACAGCAGCAGATGGATTGGGACTCTAGAAAGGCTCTGATCCAACCAGCACAGTTGTGCTAATCCAAGGTCACTTATTAATGAGTCGATCGTTCCATAATTAGCTCATGATATGCACCTTGATTCCAAACTGGAATGTACATTACCAAAATATTACCTATTTTAGTTAGGTAGCCCGTACAGTTGGTGCAAGCTTAAATTGATATTTTCTGGCGAGTGACAGGTTGAATATATTGCGGAAGGTCGTAAGTGTGGAGCTTCTGGTCCTCAGCTAGACGGGCTTAAAGTTAGTGATAGTCGGGATTGGTCAGGGGGTTAATTTCTACTGTGCTGTATAATACGTAGAGTACCGTGTGGTACTCGAGTAATTTACTGCCGGGAAGCACAAGTACTGTAGATAGATAGCGTATGATACCTCATGAACTCGACGACATCGCAGCGTCTCAAACCGGGCCCGAGAAAATGCCAAAACCTCAGGCTAATTACAGTACGGTACCGTATCGGTAGGGGATTGCGATCGCTAGTTTTAACGAAACCGGGGCCTGCCGTGCTTACTCAGTGAAGCCCTTCCGGAAGAAAATACCCGTAGACGAGAGTACGCTTTTTATTCTTGGGTGGATGTGTCAGGCTGGAGAAATTGGCCCTGGTGAAGTCTAGGTGCAAAAGTTTGGTGAGGGTAAAGTGCACACCTGGATAGCGGTATACCCGATGCGATGCCCAATAACACCGCACCTGTACTGTACCGGTACTCGAATGGCAGTACCGTAATTGCACGAGTACGAGCACTCGGGGAAGAGCACGCCAGGGGCGTGGGTGTTCTCAAGCTCCGAGGTTGCACCGATTGCCGGGTGACCACACACACCGCCGATTCGGCCACAGACTGAGCATGCGCCTTTAGCCACGTTACACAATACGAGCCGAAGCATTCTCCAGCGGCACGGTGACACACCCGGTCCCTGCTCGGATACTGGCGCTACCCGTACCTGCCCAGCGTTGGGGGATCGGGGGTGTAGGACGACGCGAGACGAGTCCCAAGCCAAGCGCACCGCGGTACTACCGGTACATGTAGCACTAGTATGATACCGTACGGGTGCGTCTACTTGGCCATTTATAAAGTATCCGGACGCCTTGGCATTATTAGCGCCTGTGTGGGTGCAAAACGTCCGAATACTTTATAAATGGCCAAGTACGAGTACGGTACAACACTTGTGATCGGCCTACCAGCACAGTCAGGGGACAAACTACGGTGGGCTGCTAATATTTGTACATATTTGCCCTTTCTGACACCACGCCTACCAAATTAAATTAAATTATTATTCACTCCACATGGTATTCAGTGCCCGGACTCAAGAACTAGTAAGCTTGGAGGGGAGCTGTTAACTTACCAGTAATACTCGAGTGCATAGACATCTACATTGACAATACTAGTATTGTACATTCCCCTGCCCGCCCCGATCCTATATACCCCTACCCAGAGCACCATCGTACAGTACCGTGCTCGCCTTGGTGGCGGAGAGTAACTATGCAACACCATCGGAACGTATACCGGTATCGACCGAGAATATCGACGACTAAGCACTAGTCACTACCACGGTCTTCTTTTGATTTTTGCATCTGCTAGGTCAACTTTACCTACAGTTGTTATACCGGTAAGGAATGTTGCAGGCAGGATTGCACAGTGCTTGTCAAGAGTTAGGACAATTTTTTTGTACACCCGGCACAGTTATCATCCTCGTATGATAGCAAACGGGAAGCGCCTAAAAAATAGGAGTGGACTTGTATGGGCGCACAGACCTTGTTGCCATACCGGTACTGTATTCGAGTATTGCGTGTCCCTCCTTTCGGTCTCCCGTTGCCATCCTCTGGTGCACAAATACGAGTGGCAAACCGAGACGAGAACGATGCTATCATGCGCAGTCCAAAACCGGTAGGACTTATCGTGCCTCTCGGCAGCAGTCATTTGAAACGTCTGGACATAGGTGCCGGTATACTTCACCCCACTCGTTGCGCACCGAGATGCCCCTATTAGATACTGATGCATTAAGTGATATATCATTTCCTCATTGAACCCTTAAAAGGGAAATGGTAAAAGTGGCGGGTGGGATTGAATGAAATTAGGTAAACATATATAGTGCCTTATCATACAGCCCCCGAAACCCGGCACAGTATCCAACTGCCGGCACAAAAACCATTTCACCAACCGCCACCGCATCGGTTTTGCCTTATACGGTCTTGGCCGTGCGGCCTTCCAATAATAGAGCCAATGGAGTGCCACTGTTTGTTAGCCATTTGCCTTCACGATGGGAAGCCACTCTTGCCAATACCTCCTATCGTAACCCTGGAAATAGCCCTTACCTTTTTGGTCAAGCAATGCTCCCAAGTATCCCATGTAAGAATCAATGCCGGTCATCAACCCCCACCCCCAATTATGATACTACTACTCAACCAGACGGGGACCTCCGATGGCCCCTGAAGTACAAGTATAGTGGTGCCGATGGATGAGAAACCGATGCGGACGGTTCCCGAGGGCGTCACCCCAGCATTTCCTGCATGCTCGTCTGCAAGGAACAGCGCCTTTCCCCAGGCTGGGGCGCGGCCTGATAAGCTAACTTCCAACCATATTTCTCTTCGGGATGTACCCCCAAACTGCGTTCACAGCGCGTGACCTCCTTCCATCGAGTGTGATTGGAATAAAGAACAAATCGGAAGGGCCTCACACTTGCACGTGCACCAGGGTATCGAGAGAGTGGACGGAAAGGCCATAAGACGGGAGAGGTAAATTGCTTCACATTCTCAGGTCTCATATTCCCGCCGATCATAGGACGTGGAGCACGCCCTCGGGGAAATTTTTGCTCGGAGGAATGTTGGAATTGTGGGGGCAGCCTGTGTACGGTACGCTACCACACAGGTGCAAGGGAATAGGGATATGAGCAGCCCCATGCCTGTGCTTTTGGGATGGGTTCGCCGCTCTGGGGGAGCGTTGGGCTTTCTTCGGGATAGAATTAGGTGGAGTCTCCCCTCGGTCCCCGGGCCCAGTCCCACCTTTTGCGCCCCCCGCTGTTTCTTCACTATCGGTGTGACGAGTCGGATTGGTAACAGCGACACGATACAATCAAATCTTTAATTATGGTAATCCATTTAGCCAAGTGCCCTCATCGTTCTAATGAACAGTATTCCACCCTATACGCTTTTATGATACACACCTCAGGAATATCCCCACCTGTTCCTCCTCCTAGTCCTCCTTCCAGCCCGTCCTTCTTCCGCAGAGGCGCGTACTTCACTCACGTCCTGCTGCCCAGAGTGTCCATAGGCCAGTACAAGCTTCCTGATAGTAGAAGTGTAGCCTCTCGCCAGCGACCTAACGGAACTCATACCAATACGACTAGCATCAATATCAAGATCCTCCCTTTCAAGCAGCAACCTAACTATTCCCTCATGTCCCCTCTTTGCCGCAACATGCAATGGTGTCTCTCCGAGCGCCGATGAGGCATTGACGTCTACTTCTCCATGACTTAGGAGTAACCGCGTGGTATGTATCTGGTCAAGCGAAGCCGCCAGGTACAAGGGCGTCCTCCCATGGCGATCCGACTGATTGATTTCGAACCTTGGGTCTTTAACCAGAAGCGGCAGCACCCCCCTCCAGCCGAGCGATATGGCACGGTGAATGGGCCTCTCCCCGGCCGGGTCCCTTGCGTTGATGTCGACCGCGGCGCAGGTTAGGAATATCCGTATCGTAGCTTCGCAACCAAGCTTAACCGCCTCGTGAAAAGGTGTTAGACCACTTTGGCTTTTGAGGTTTGGGTCCACCCGCTTATCCGCTAGCAGTATCGAGAGTATGTCGTTCCGGTCTCTATCCCGAAAGACGGCCTGATGTAGCGGCGTCCTATTGCACGGGCCAAGGATGTTGACGTCGAGTCTTTCGTCGGATAGGAGCAGCTGTGTCATCCTCTTGTCCGCTAGATTAACCGCAAGGTGTAGGGCTGGAGGGCCCGCCGGGCATGGATGGTTCAGTTGGGCCCTCTTATCGAGCAGCAGCAATCGCACCATTTCCTCGCTGCCCGCCGCGATGGCATCGTGTAGCGGCGTTCGACCATTTTGCTGTGAATTTACGACGATTCCGTCCACTCCCAATAGCAACTCAACGATCGTAGGACGGAACATGCGAACTGCTGTGTGTAGTGGCGTCAGACGACTTCCCCCTTTGTCCGTTGCGTCGACACCGCAGTCTATCAGTGTACGGATAGTTGTCTCGCTCATTGAGGACACAGCCGTTGTGAGTATCTCCTCTCCATTTAAAAGACCACTACCTAGGAACCTCTTGACTGTCATGTTATCCTGTCGGTGTGCAGCCGAGAATAGTACATTTTGTCCATAACGCCGTACTCTTGTGTCGGTTGAGAATACGTTGTCGATAAGAACGTGAGTTAGGAGTCGGGATAGACGCCTGTTTGTGCGCAGGAGAGCATTTGTGTCGGGCAGGTCCTGGTTTCTTGCGATCTGAAGGATTATCTCGTTCGGCAGGTCTAGGAGAGACATGATGTAACGGTTTCCTGTATTGTGAAGTATTCGAGCGCCGTAGTCAGTAACAGTGGGGGATTTGTCTGAAGATTTGACGAGGACCCCGGGGGGATCCACCACCCATATACCGTAGCGGCGGAACAGTGGACTCACACTGATTCTTCTCAAAGGAAAGCTGGTGGGGCGGGGCTAGCCCTACTCTGGTAACACGAAGTGCGGAGCGGATAGCAGCTGGATACCGTCGTTGGCCTAATATTACCGTGTGGGGCCCCTATTGGCACTGTGCCCAATTCCGCATGAAAATGCGATGCCCGAGTGGGGCGTGACCTTATCGGGACACCGGTAAGGTTCTCAACGTTTTCCGAAGCTCCCGGAAAGGGAAATGAATAAGTAATTCACGTTGGGTACAATTGATGGCTTCGCTGTCCGGATTTTGGGAAAGCTCTTGTAACCTGCGCCGGGGGCTCGTAACTCGCGTTAAGGAGATTTTAGAAAAAAAGCTGATTGCCGGCACGATATATGATGCTCCTACCAGTATGTGAGGCGCTGCAGAAGGGTTCTCGAGTACTGGGGCACGCCACCGGGTTTTGAGGACGGTTGCCGGTTTCTGATCGCATTCCATTATTATTTGCTGGGGTAATTTACGCGGAGTATTGTGAGAACTTGTCGCGCTGCGCCATTTTTCTTGAATACTCCAGATTACACGCACAGCTATATGGCCAGAAGTAAAGCATTGTATGATGGCCACCCGCTCCCCCAGCCACCCTGTTAGGTGGTCCAAAGCCTCAAGGTTTTCTGCATTAGAGGTGTTCCTTTCAATCAATTTTGTTCCTGGAATAGCCGTGCGTGCCACACACCAACAGCTGCGCCCCAGCGGGTATTACCTGCCTCAGCGGGCCATCCCGCTTTCGGGTGCCGGGTTACCCCTGCAGCCACAACCCTGGCAGACATCAACTCTAGCAAAGCCACGTTGGCCGGCTGACTGTCCCCTGGGCAGTTTATAATAAATAGAACTTCGTTTCCCGGTAGGCGAAGCCGGGTATCGAATGAATCAAGTTTTGTGGCTCGCTGGGAATTCGTGTGGTTTGGAGGTGCTGAATCAGGTTTCTTCTGAAAACGCCAAACCAGTTGCCTACAGCTACCTGTATGGTATTTGATAGCCACTTTTCACTTGGCGCGCTTGGCAACTGGTTTTACTGTCCACACCGCCCAAAGCATACCGCCCGCTACCTTCTCTCATCCTAACTACTCGAGTACCCAAGACCAACACCGGTGCCACAATACTACAACTAAGTGGATCAATACTCTAGACCATCCCTGGCAAACAGTTCTCTCTTTACCGCTCATATCTTTCCCTGCGCAGCGGCGCACGTGATGCCACCGAATATCCCATCTTTAACATCACAGGTAATCCTACGGTCTCTGAGCGCCTTGACTACGCACCCCTGCCGATCCCGACAGCGACGTACCGGTACAGCGGCGCGATCCTGGTACTGTATTATTACCTACAGGGTAGGGGTGACCCGGTGATCATCCAGAAAAGCAGGATGATGGCGCAGTTGCCCAGATTGGCGACTTTGTGTAGCGGGTCACATCTAACTTAGGACTGTGCAAGTTTACGTCGATGTGGGGGTCGCTGAGGAGCGCGCTCGTCGGCCGGAGTGGCTAAAGAGTACCGCTGCGTGGAGCGCTAAACCCCTGATGCTTGTGCGGTAATTCGCGTCGACATCCGAATGTTTCAACATGCGGTGCGGGACCTCGCGGTAGAACGCGCTGACTAGGATTGGCGGTTTACGGCGGAGTTCCATAACGTTAACTTCGGTACCTGGGCCACTAGCGGGAGGCGGGCTATCACCCCATTGGCATTCCCCACGGTTTTGTGCAGGGGCGTCTAGTTCGAGGGAGGGACGTTGGTTGGTTAACGTCCATCCGCGGATCCTGGGGCGGTTCCTCGACGGCGCCCTCACGACCGACACTCACTACCACCAGGGGTGGAGGAACACTATTCAACACCATTCCGGCTGCCCGGTTCGCATCTGCCTTCGTGATAACCTGTTGCCCTATCACCGCTTCCCGATTACACGGGTGTATAGCGCTATGCAACCCTGCGTCCTGGTGATAATCCTGAAGGTTAACGCCTAGCCACTCGTCGTCAATCAACATTTGCACCAACCCCCCAGCTCCGGAATTCGACCCGAACTACAACTCCATACTGACAGTACCGGTGCCAGCTTAGAGGTTGACATCGGTATTTTAACTTTCCAAGGGAACCCGCATCGTCTCCGAACGCGATATATCCGCTGCCCCACGCAACGGGGTTCACACCGAGAAGTATCACACACCCGGATCAAGCCACCAGGGAGGACAACTTAATGGGCCAGCTCGCTGGGCAGAGAGATAACTTTTTGCGGCTTTTCTGAGGTTGTTTAGGATAAGCGACTGTGAGATGTAGTGCCTAACCTCTTATGGCCGCACGATTGAGGCCCGGTTTGGCAGGACACTGGATAAAAATACTTAGTTTTTCAAGAAATACTTGGGTTTGGCATAGCCAGAGTTTTTTTTTTGCTGAGATATGGGACTGTCGTTTACCGCAGGGTAAACAGGATAGAACAGAAAATTTATACAATAGGATCTAGGTTGCAATGTGCTATTATACATATAAAATGAAAATTAAATTTGAGAAAATCCTTCCATCGATGTCTGATAGACAATAGTGATAATAAAGTTTTGTTTTGGTTTTATTAATTTCATACTAATTTATGGCAAAAAAGACAAAAGTGGAACCAAGTTTTCAGTAAACTCTCCTATACAATCCACTTTCATGTTTTGTCCCTCCTATGCCATCCATTCCTCCCATACCACAATTTTATTACATAATAATAAGCCTATTAGATAGCTAGTAAGAAAATAAATTAATAGAATTTTTATTATTTTTACAATTAATATTAGTAAATAACAACTTTTTCTTCTACTTACTTTTGATTATAACTTTTCAATCTTTCCAGTTTCAATCTTACCTTCATACTGCCAATACTTCTACTTATCTTAAGGTTACTCCTATAATAGAGTTGTAATACAAGATATTTATAATCTTTATATGCTTCAACTAAGCTATATATATAATAACTAAATCAACTTCAATTATAAATCAATAACTATTATAACTTATAATTAGAATAAGATACAAAATTCTTACTAAGCCACCTGACTGGGTCACATAATAAGTCAATCAAGTCTAATAGAACTAAGTTTGAAAAAGTTAAGAATTGGTTAGTGCATTGACCTCACAAAGTGATAGAGTTTAAGAAACTCAATAATTATCAGGGCTCCAGATGGGCTATTGATAGAAGTAGTAACTCTTAGTAACATTAAAGTTACTAATAACTCCTACTCAGGTCCACATGTCCAATTTCTCTATCTTATCCTGATTATGCAGTTTTAACCATCACAATTACTCAAATAGACTAGTGTATAAACAATTCTGAAATTTATTCATTACTCAAAGGGTTACAACTTGAAATAATTACGACTGAAGGTTTTCACCTCTAAAGCCATCCGAAGTTTGAGGACTCCTATTATCGGCTTGCAGAAATGAGTTGGACGTTGGACTTGCCTCTCCCAGTAAGGTCCGTTGTCTTTTTATTTTTATTTTTTCCACTTGTCCCGATTGAGAGCTAAATGGGGACTTTTCGATCTATTTTATGCCTTTATCCAAAGAAGGAAATTCTAGACGTCTAGGGCCGCTCCTAATTATTAAGCGTACAGTTTTTGCATGTATCATACCACACCTATTCAGCCACAAGTACTTGTGGCACGAGGTCATTCAATCTCACTCGGCAGTTAAGACACTCCCGTACAAGAGGCTGAGCGCGTAAGCGGGGTGGGAGACTGAGGACAAATAATTATTGGAGTATGATAAAACAATTATATTATATTATAAAGCAATCAGTATCGACAAATTTTCGAGCCAAAATAGCGACTCTGGTGTGTGTAACGCCTTGTGTGCAGAACTGACAGATCTCAAAACTCGTCACCCGGAAATCCCTCTCTTTTCGGCTGGGGGGCTGAATGCCTATGTTAATATTACCAACACAGCTGCCCCTAGAATTGAGTGAGTAATCACACAACTAACAATCCATCGACACATACGAGGAAAAAGTCACAACTTCCGTATCCCAGCCGCCTCTGCTTTTTTCCTCGCTATCCATCTCGCGTCACCCCGTGCTCCTTTCCACGTTCTATATTCCCAGACACATCATATAAAGACTCCACTGATAACATACTCCTTCCATAAATGCAGGAATACGGGGAGAGGGAGAAACGTTCTTCATCGACCGATTAGCCAATTAACTGACTAGCTCCTCGATTCCCACAGTAATAGACCACAGGCACTCGCGCATCTCAGGCCGAAGCCACCAAAATTCTATCTCAACCCCTAACAACTAACTTCAAATATCCAAATACTGGGTCATTTGATTGTTATTTCGCGTGGAGAAAGCTGATTCCCGGTGCCTTCAGGGGGTCCCCCTACTCCGTTGAACGGGTGGCCCGCCACCAAAACGAATATGTGCAATGGTCAATAGGCACCATTAAACAAACCAATCCTCTGCTCTTTCCAAGCGCCTGACGCGCGTCGAAGGATTCATGCAGGCACATTTCATGCATCGCAAGGCACCGGTTCAATTCAATTCCGCAGAGTGAAAGAATACATGTCGGCTTCTGTATGGTGGCTGCTGTTCACCGGCACCGGTTCTCTTACCTACTCCGACAACTCTTATCCGGTCGCAAACCGCCAGGCACTGCCAGGCGTTCCTAGTATCAGTGTTTCGAACATGTTAGGTCGAGACGCCCTTAACACCAGACCTAGGTCGGCCTTTACTATGCCGCGGTTGTCGTCGGCCCTCGATTATTGAAGTTTAAGACTCAAGTGCCGAGCCCAAGCGGCTCAAGTGTTCATGCACAAGCACCGCTTCTGGGCGAACGACAAAGAGGACTCTATTTGTAGTTTGTATTGGGAATTATTATCACCGAGCGGAGGGGAATTTGGTTACCAGCTTCGTTCCGATCCAGATACCGCGGGGATAAGATTGAATTTTGTCGCGTACCTGAAACTAACCTATAGAATCGCAATATAAGGCCTAGCACCAATTCGATGAACGCCCCGGGTCGATCTGGAAGCCAATCCCCCACCCCAACAGTCTAGCAACCCTAGGAGGGTGGACGGAGCGCAAGTAAGAAAGGGGAGGAAAAAAATACATACAGATCGCGCACGGGGATGGTTCTGCAGGGGGGAACCTTGCGGTCGGAGGGCCAGTTCTGCGCAACCCCGGGTTAAGTTTGGGTTGAGCTGGGAGCCAGCACCGGGGATAGTGTTTGGCAGAGGGCCCCTGGAAAAGGATCAGGGGTGAGCGGGGAGGTTACCCACCTTGCTCAAGGTTGGGCCCATGATCCTCCAGGATCCCAATGTGTCTTCGGGGGTGGGATGCTACGGAAGAAATTACAGTTCGCTATTTGAAAGATATCTGCTAAACGGGAACTCCTGCTTCTGTCTACCTTCTCTACCTTCCCCAACATTTCATACACTCTCTCTAGACCTCTTGGGAATTTGCATATCTCTCCACTCCTGCTTCTGCCCCCATTTTTAACCTCCGGCCGTATTTAGTTCTTTGCTTCTCTTTGCCCATGTGATATTTAATTTTCTTTGGGATAAAACTTGTTATTGTTTATTCTGTGCCTGGATAGAGCGTTTCCCCATATACAGAGGAGATTTCCTCCGGCCCCGTCCCGTAGCGGAAGCTTAAAATACGAACTTCAAGTCGCCGATATTGCCTCCAAACACATCATCCCTATAGACATAGCGGACTCAGAGACGTATTTTGTCACCCGTCCCTGAATTATATACATCCTCTCAACTTCCTCCTTTTCCGTATGACAGTGCAACTAGTATCCTTTTCCACTCACAAGTATCTCCATTGATATACACAGCGCCAGTAAAGTTCTCGTACCCTCCTGGGACATTGAGCGCTACTCCCATGAATAGCAATAGAACACCAAACGTCTTTTAGAAAAACTGTCCCCGGGTACGCCCCCAGGGACAGTATAAAATTTTATCCCGTTTTGTTTTACCGCGTAGTGGAAAGAGAGGGCAGGTGAAAACCGTGAAATATTTCCAAGAACTAGTTGGGCTATACAGCAGCGGTATTGCTGAACCACTAAAACCAGCGCGCTCAGATACGACCCCAAGACAATTGCGGGGGTGTAACGTTTGCAAGCGAGTGTGGCGCAGTAGTTGATTCGGCGTAGGCAAGGGGTCGGGAACTGCCTCTGCTTTCTTCTCATCTGGCTGTGGCACTAGCACTTCTAAACACTCCCTCTCCGGAATGGGAGGATTTCCTCCTCGATCTCGAATCTACCTCTGAACGGGGCTCGATTTCTCCCCCAGAGTCTCTCAAATCACCTCTCGTCACTCGCTTCTCTATGAGGTACCAAAAACCTCCTTCGGATATGTATATGTTGGACCAGCGATGAGAGATATCCGAGGTGGTACCAGTGAACCCCCCTGAATGCCTCGCTACCTCATTTCTTAATAATACCAAGAGATCCACAAGCTTCATATCGTCGCTTTGTTTCTATCCTTATTTATCTCCACTTTGAATCCGTCATACCGGAAAAAAGGTGCACGATGTGTTACCTGACAGTCCTCCCATCCCTCAGCTATCACAAGCTCTTCTTCCCGCTAGATCGCAGTAAGTGGCATGTGATGTGATAATTCGTCACTCGCTGCCGTATCAAATCGCGAGTGAGCAGATTGTAAGGTCGTGCCTGACCATAACACCCTTGAACCGATAGACACCCTATGCTATATAACCAACAGCGCAGCCTCCATCCCCCCCTCCCTCTAGGGACGTCAGGTGACTATTCACGTGAAAGCGAATAGAGAAACCCCGGACTGATAAAGGGTTCTACTTTGTGCCTACCTCAGAGAAAGTCCTTGAGTTCCCGCCTTGTTTTAATGTCAGGACATCTACCCGACGACCTCACCTCCAAAGAAGAACCCATCCTGTCAAACCTGCTTCAAAAATCACTCCTGTTGTAACCTAGGCTTGGGGAGGGAACCATGGCAAGAGTTGGCCGGGAGCCTAGGCGAAAATCCCCCCTTCTCCCCCAACCTACGTCCCGGGAGAGTTGCAACTAATCGGTATCCGCAAAACAGTATCACTGGCAATGACCACCACAAGCTCTCTTAGCATCCACTGTACCAAATTCTATATCGTCCTGAACCACCCACTCTTCAAAAATGTGCAGTAGAGGTAGAGAGCAGGGCATCGAGATGCCCGGATTTATGATGATTCTGAAAGAGTGATTGTAGCTCAGCTCTGTGCTCAAGAATTTCAAGCCTATCGTGAGCTGTCTGCTGTCTCGGAAGGCTAAGGCAAGCCAACTAACCAGCTGCCGGAAAAAGTCTCTGTAAGTAAATGAGCACATCGCCAAATCACCCGATCACCTCCACAATCATTTTTATCTGGGGTATAAGGTCGGCGGGGATAAGCAAGCGCCAAAGATGGGGCAATCTCTTTATCACTCTACCTTACTTACCGTATCCGCTGGTTCACCCACGGAACACCAGAACAAGACTTCTCTAACGGGGTTCAGGGGTGTGAGGAAGATTCAAGATACTGATCCTACCTAGAAACACAAACTACCCACCCCCCACTTCAGCGAACCGAACTCTGAATTTCCAGAACCAGAAGTGGCAGGAAATAAAGTCCAAAACAACCGGCAGGGAACGTATGCTACTCATTCTGAGCGAACAGAGTCCAAGGTTTCCAGAAATTATAACCAGTCTTGTATTAGGAAAGGTTCTCGCACACCCCAACCCATCATCACATAGACCATCAAGCTCACCGTTATGCAAGTACCAATGACAACTCCATATTGTATGATACCTAATGGTTCCCCCAATGCTCACCTCCCAACCCACTCCTTTTCATTCCCTAGGCATACCATCATATTATATCCGCATGCCATACACACCCGAACCCACCAATAACTCTCCGATTGCTTTATTCCCTGCACCTATAATAATACAATCCCGAAACCTCCACTCCGTCTATACGATACCGACCGACCGCTCTAGAATCCGTCCTGCTACGATCTAGCAGCGATAAAGAGCGAATGAAAGAAATATAACCCACAGCACTCCATCTTCAAACACGTACAAGTTAGAAAATTACAAAGCCCCCGGGGGAGGCCAAGATCGAGAGGAGGTTCAGAGGTTCTCGGAACCTCCACGGACAGTCGAGGAGCGTTTCTAACCAATAATATTGACAATTCTATCGGGAAGTTCATTTCTCGCACCGTGCCAACAAAGCTACCATACACCGAGTCCACCCGCTTCGGTTCCTGGGGGAATGCTACGCCGTGGTGTGATTGGCGTTCGGATTATGCGAAAGGATTCTGCCACCTCCTCGTTGGCTGGTGTGATTGGCCGAGTGGGATACGGTAAACTAGCCACTCCCGCCATATGTATCTCACAATGCTCTGGTTCGCGATTGGCACAAACCCTCATCTGAAAAGCTGAAATCAAGGTTTCTTATAGGGCAAGTAGATGATAAGCTTAATTCGACCTCACTTCGCATCGGAGGCTTGACCAGTCAATCCTTTGTTACACGATAAGCAGGCCTTTGGGATCAACTTAGGGTAGTGGAATGCGCCCGCAGTTCGATGCCTTGCAAGGAAAGAGCTACCAGTATATGATATATAATATATCCCCCAATCAGAGGATTCCCACAGGCCACCATTATCCATCCAGTCAAAACGATTGATATCATTACTAACTTAAGTTCATCACAATTTGATTTTTGCCCAAATCGAATTCAAAAAATAAGAGTGGGAAAAAAAAAGGTGAAAGAAAAAAACTCCTACTCCATCCCGATCCTCGCGTCCCCGATATCCTTCCAAATCCACAAAAAAAAACACCATTAAAGTTCTTCGTCCTTCTCCGTGTAAACCACAGTCCACTGCCGGTCAACGGGACCAGTACTCAACTCGCTCCACCTATCACAATCATCAATTTCAGATTTCGAAAGGTTGCCGAACTCAGAATCAGTCATAGATTCGTCCCCTTCCGATTGGCGCGAAATGCTAACGATGCTCTCGTCCAATTTATCCATCATGAGCGTGTTTGTGTCATCCTCTTTCTCCTCGTTAGACATCGTAGGAATCCTAGTCGGCGGAGGAGGATACGGGGTTATAAAGTATTCCTCTTGAGTGTGTTTTCCGTCTCCCACACCCGGCGAACCCGAGACACGGCTTGGCGGGGGTGGATACGGTGTGTAATCTTGTTCCTCCACCCCAGGGTATCCTTCATTTTTTCCATTGGCACTCCCGCTCCCATTATCGCTGCCGGAGGGCGGGGACGGAGAAGTATTCAGAGAACCCAGCGGGCATCCTCCGTCCGATACCTTCCTTAACATCACAGCTGCCCAATCCCGTTCCACATTAGACTGCCGGATGTTGCTGGGAGAAGAACTCCTATTCCTTTTATTCCACTTATCCTCCAACCGTTTCGTCAATTCGCTCGAGCACTTCTCCACCTTGTGAACCGCGTCGATAACGTACCAACCGCCGAACTCCCACCTATCACGCCCACCGGATATCGCCACGGGCACCTGCCGGTAAAGCGGCACAGCAGTCGTCTGAAGACTGGACAGCGGAACGTCGAAAAGTAGGTTCAGATGTGACTTTACAAATATTTCGCGTGGAAAGTCTGGGTGTGCATTATCGAAGACGAGGATTCGGGCGATTTTAGGGGGTGTGGTTGAAGTAGGAGATATTGTGCTAGAGTCGCCCGAGTAGAACTCGGTGACTTGTGTTCGCGTATAAGTTTGCGAGGTTCGGGAGGTCCGCGAGGTGCGGGGACGCCATTGGTGGCTCATTGTTCCGCCCGCTCCGTCTGTCGGCGCGAGTGCGTGTGAGGGCGTGATCGTCAGTGCAGACATTCTGTTTTATTCTAGGCCTTGACTCTTGAAGGGCTCTAGATTTCCGGATTTTTCAGAAAAGGAAGAGAAAAAAAGGGGGAAGAGGGGAAGGGGAAGGAGAGTGGTTGGGAGGTTGAAAGGGAGACGAAGTTGGAACTGGGTTGAATATGAAAAAGCTCCTGTTAGAGCAATGGTGTTCTGAACGTTTCGGGAGTAAATCGATGGGTATGATAAGCCGGGGTGCAGCCTGCTTGTGCTTGTTCGCTTGGCCACAGCAATCATGCCTTAACTGGTAGTGGTTACACCAGAAGCATGGACTCTCAATTGTCGCCCCGCGGCGCGCTTTGAACATCAGTCACTCCCATTGCCTATCTCAACTGGCTCCTCTTGGAAGTGCAGATACGATGCCAGTGCTGCCACCGAAATGGTAAGTTAATTTGTGCTTTGGTGCCTACAACTGTTCCTGCTTGTTCACCACCAAGCTGGTTGGTTGCAGTAGCGGATTTTGAATGAGACTTGGTCTATGAGACACGCCGGAAGCCACCATCCTCCCCAATGGGCCCAGTCATATTCTCAACCATGCGCAGCCAATGAGATTTAAGACTTGCATGAGGGATATTCTTGGAATCTTTGCATCTTCGGGATCGCACTCCAGGACATTCGCTTAGCCTTCTCTTGAGGTGCTTACCCTCCGTGGTATGGCCGGAAGCGTTGACCCGGCCCTGACTCTCCCGGCTGGGAATGGAATCACTCGGACTTCCCGCTAACCTAGGACATGGTCCAATGGAACATACTATAATAGAGTATCTGAGAGATAGGTAAGATACCGGCATTGGCCGCTGAGATACCGGAACCGTAACTTGGGACCCACCGTAAAAGCTGGAATAATTGAGAATCTCACGGAGCCGTTCGAGTTTCCTCTCATAGTACCGGTGCTGGTAGGATCGCATATTTCATTTTACCGGTATTTATTTCAAATGAGGCTGAGAGAGGATCTTTTCGCTATTTTCGCCCCTTAATCCAGGGTGTGGGGGAATTCTGGACGTCCCAGCGCCATTCTCAATTATTCCGGTTTTTGCGGTAGCTAACCGTACTGAGTTCCGGTCGGAATACCGGTAACTTACGGTATTCCACCCGTATCCCCCCTATCGAGTGAGTCAGCGAGCAACCGCAGGCTGGTGAGTTTTTTTCGTTGCTTGTATCCCAGGTCGCGGGAAACTGACCTGCAGTATATGTCTGTTGGTGCGGTATCAGAGGAAAAGCACAACAAGCGCCTAAGCCCCAAGATGTCAGTGTGTTGGCCCCAGTTGTACAGTACGGTACTCGTACAGTATGAGAAGAATACCGCAAAACTCTTGAACTCCACTGTCTCGGCAAGCCATGTACTAGTAATCTCCGAATTCAGTGAATTAGAGCTCCTGAGAAAGGGTAACGTTTTCCCGATACGGTATATGATCTGCCTGGTGGATGATTCGCAACCCTTTAACCACGATTCGGACTCCCGATAACCTGTCAAACCAAGCCCATCGTGGGCTGACGGGCCGGGTTCCACGGATACTCGAGTAACACGATACAAGTACCCGTAGTGGCTATCGGGGTTTTTTATGGGATTCTAGATTAGGGAGGTGAAATGACTTACTCCAGTATCTTCAAGCCATTTGTCACTGCGATGGGAGGGGGAGTGCAGAAATGGAAGGGATGCTAGGCTACCGTACCATACACTGGCATACAGTACGAGCACCCGAGTACCGTATTTGAATGCCGGTACCGGTATGAGAGCAGGGGAAACCCCTGTAAACTGAGGGACGATCCTAAAACTGGGGTGATGATGGACTGATACTGGACTCCAGTATGGCATTCGAGGATAACGTCCAACATGACGACACCCATGCTTCATATCACATTGGGCGTGCGATGTGACAGGAACACTCAAATCTTGGCGCTCAAGCTCTGCCGTCCAACTCCAAAACGAACACAGAAGCAGAGCTGACTGTAGGACCCGCCCATCCGATTTATTAACCAGGTTAACTACCACCCGTTTAAATCCTCCAAAGGCCACACTCTCTACTCGAGTACTCGAGTACTAGTACTGGCACCGATCAATGCCGCGCCAATCAACAATTGTAGTTCCAGCCTGTGGGAGTTTAGACATGAGTTTTGGGATCTGGAAGTCAACTCCCGCGGGGGAAGCTTTCTCCTGGGCCCTGCCCACAATACCTACTTGCCTGCGGCCGGGGGTATTCAAGCTCAAGCCAGGGGAGTTGGAATGGTGTCGGAGAGTCGAGCTTTTACTAATAGCCTAATCAGGCTTGTCCCATCCCGATAGGCACCTGTTCTCAGCGTGGGTTTAGGGTTTTATCGCGATGTGGTGCTGTACTCGTACAGTACTTTATTTAGTAGAGCAGTGTCAACAAATATGGACACAGGACCTACGGGAAGTATGGTATATTGATTCACCGCTTTGATGAAATCGTAACAAAGAGCTTTTCGATTGATTGATGTTGGGTAGAGAGCTTTTCCGGGGTGCTTTGGGCTGAGGGGCATTTCAGTTTTGGATTTGTCCACTCGCTAGGGCTTATTAGTCTAATGGCCTAAATGATCAAGAGTGCAAATTTTTTTCCGGGGCTTAACCCTGGGCAACCCAGGATGGGTACTGAAAGGCAGACATGCTTCTCATAGTGTAAAGTTAGTCTACCGATCTCGGGAGAGCACCCTTAAAAAAATTTGTGGAGACTGCCATGCCACTATTTTCTTTAAACTGGATGTCTTAAATCGCGTTGGATAAGGCAGTGAGATTGGCCCGGGATACCTGACTTTGACGAGAAGTTATAACTATTACCGGTATTCAAAAATTGTTGTTCCTGTACTTGTACAAGTACCGGCACAGGCAGTCTACCGGTACTAGGGCTCAACACGTGAGTCCCGGCACTCGAGTACTCTACCTCTCTACTCGTACCGTATTCCACTGTCCAACAGTATCATAGTCTGGGATTTGCCGAAGAGAAGTGTCAGGTGATTGAACGCTCAATTAGGGTAGGGAGAAATGAGGATGAGGCAGTGTTTGTAATTCCGGGTAACTACTCGTACGAGTGCAGCCGATAGATATATTCGTCACGTGTGTCTGATAAGAAAGTTCCGGTGAACCTTTTGGCTGCGATTTGTCCTTAGATAAGGCACGTGACGAATATATTTATCGGCCGCACTCGTACATAACTTTAAACACCCCGCCACCTGTTAACCAACATCCCATCATCATCATCCCTGCCGACCCCCCGTATCTAAGACTATCCCAACAGATTCTGCCCGAGTGACCCCTCGTGTGCTTCGGTTATCACTACCCTATCGTTCTCGATAATTCTAGGTACTTGGTCATATCTGGGGGTAAGATTTCCTGCTATTTGAGTCTCAAAACACAAGTTAACTATTTATGGATCCATGAATAGGACACCACACGATGGCTGATGATACCAACAACAATGTGAAGAAGCGGAAGCCAAAGTGGAGCACATAATGCTCTGAGGTGATAATCAAAGAAGCCGAAAAGAGATTACGTATACGAATCGATGAAATCCGCGCTGCCCCCGTTGATGTGATGATTACAGACCCAACCACAACCCTGGAAGGCACCGGTATTGACAAGAAGAAGGTCGATGCTATCAAGGAAGATGTTTATTTTCATACCCTGCAATATGTAGATACTGAAGGATATCCAACAGATGCAAGTGAGGACTTCAAGGAGGCCAATGTTAGCAACAGTGATCCCAAGCGGCCAGTCCGTCCGGCTTTGAGTACGGCCGGACTAGCCCAGGCTTTTTCAGGGACGGCCGGGCCGGACTGTGGGAAAGCGACTTTTCCAAACCAAAGCCGGGCCCGGCCTGGGTCACCCGCAGGCCGATGTTTCAAGGGATCGCGTGTGTTTCATTACTAAGAAATATTTCATTATTCAACAGGACTAACTATTTCATGCGGACAATACATATTCACCCGGGGTAGCCAGAGAGTTGTGTGCAGAATAGTATAGTGTCTCGAGGTAGGACAGTATATTTGGGTACAGCGGGGGTTCATCGCTGGATGTTATACATTTTCCTTAAGCGAGATCTATAGCGTCAGGCGCATGTTGCTCCTGATATCTTGTTCCGAGTGATTAAAAGTGGACGCCTGCAGGCTGTCCATAGGTATCTTCAGATTACCTGGGCATCCGGCGGCTCTAACCTAGGTTGCGCCAAGACTCGACCCGGCGGTTGCCTGGACACCGCCGGGCTTTGGCGGCCGCAGAGAATTTCGACCGGACTGGCCCAGGCTTTTCAAAACCAAGGCCGGACTGACCGGACTGCCGACCTGTAGTCCGGACTATGGTCCGGACTCGCCGCTTGGGATCACTGGTTAGCGACTTGGTGCTCTATATCATCGGTCCAATAATTTCGGCAATCTCTACGGACGGGCTGACAGGTGGTATGGAAGAATTTCTTGTTGTTGATCGGGTGGCAATCTCAGAAAAAATCTGCTCATCATCGAGGCGAAGCGAGCATCGATGGGCTAGGATATAACACAGATTTTGCTTGCGATGAAAGACGCAAGGGACAACAACTCCGGAGGCATTATCTATGGTTTTGTCACAACTGGAGATGACTGGCAAATGTTAAGTTACGATGGAAGGGAGTTTGTGATAACAGAAAAGTTCACGGTTTTGTTTTATATAATGAAAGACCGTAAAGAGAGGTGGATAAGAGAGAATGCGATTATAGTGGACTGTATGGCGATCCCACTGACCAACGGAGGTATTGTGGTGAATACTGTGGTCGTATAAGGGTTAATTTTGTTGTACGGTTAGTTACTTTCAGTTTGCGGATCCACCTTTGTGTTTATATTATTGTTTCCGTTTGAGCGGAATCTTGCTATTTCCTGTATTGAAAGAAGAAGGAATGTTACTCCACAGCCTGCCACACCTTAACCCTTTATAGAAATGTCACTCGAACCGCAAAATAACCCCCCACTAACGACCCTAACAAAGCACCAGATCCTCCTTTTTCTAAACGCTCTGATGAACCTTCACCCACTGTTAGCAGTGAATATCTCAGGAGAGAACCCACGTTAGCCGCGGCCCCCGTACTTGAAGCATATTGACCTAGAAGAGATCACGCAGATGATACTACTGCCGGGCGAGGACATAACAGTAGCTCTCAAGACCCTGCCTTCGGAGCAGAATTTACGAGGTTTCAAACTGGACAGAGTGCGCGGGTGGAGGTGATTGATTTTTGGAGATTGCCAGGATGAGGTGGGTGGTGTAGCCACTCGAGAAGGGGGAGCGAATGGGGGAGTCTGGATATCGTTCGTATTCCACAACACTATAGTAGACCACATCAGCAGATTCGTACTGCACAAGTCAATCCTCACCGCGCTCTATTGAACTGACAAATTCCACCTTTTCCGATTGCTATATCGTCCAACCTTAACAAGAGCCGTACTCTTCCTCCCTTGAATCGCTAATCCCCCTCCCACGCTCCCTCCCACACATTATGTAGCTGGTCTAGTCTAAGGTGTGCCTGCTACTTCCCTTCCTAACATTTTACACTCGCAGTCCTACACCTGCGCTTCCAACCCGCGGAAGCCCGGGGGCGGTATACGAATCAATGCGCTTCCCCACGGGGAACCTCAAAATACTACCCTCCACCTCCCTCACAGAGACAACCACCACTTGCCTCCTTACAGCCAGCACCACCATACTAGGAAGGTTTAACAAAATCACCTCATCAACGCCGATCAGAATCCTCTAGTATGTCCCCACTGGGTGGATTCATGCCGGCCGTCATTGGTATATATGCCACCAATTCCCGGTCACAATACTTGTGCTACTCACCCCACACCTTCAAACCTATTCTCCCTTGCTCGGGAGCACACGGCGAAAATCAACGACTGGGGAGACGCTGGCGCGGTAGGCCTAGATGTGGGCATGCTGTGATTGGTCAATAACCTCGTGGTTTCTGCAACGACAAGCTCAGCAACCAATGGGAGGACAGAGTCATAATGAGTAATCCCGGCACCTGGGATGGCGAAGTAGGCCTTGATGGAGTAGTGATCTCGCAGAGCGCCAGAGTCACCGGCGCCGCTACCGAGTGGTCTGCTGTTGGTAGTGTTGTGCACGAGCCGAGCGGACTCGAGCCAGACTCGAGCCGAGCCGGGCTCGAGCCCTTCGAGCCTGGGGGGCCTCGAGCCAAGTGGACTCGAGCCTAGGTGGTCATTAGGCTCGAGCCGGCTCGAAATGGACTCGAGCCTAGGTGGTCACTAGGCGCGAGCCGGCTCGAACAGGGGTCCACGAGCCGACTCGAGTCAGGAATTGGACTTGGGGATAGTGGGAAGGTCATTTGGCTAGTTGTATTTGTTTTCAAGTTGCTATATACAATTTTTGGTTGATTTGTGTGATAATGGCAGTGTGTAGAGGTATCGTGGCCACTTTAGACTCAAGCCTCTTGGCGGCTCGAGCCCTCGAGTCCAGGGGTCTCTCGAGCCGGCTCGTGAACAACACTAGCTGTTGGTGTTAGAGGCGCTGGGTTAGTCCTTGGCAGTGCCGGATACGAAGGCACTGTGAACGTCCACGTACTCAAGAGGGGTTTAGAAGGTGTCTAAAGGGGCGTTGAGGGTGTTGAGCAAGTTTTTGTGACAGGTAGATGGATGGGTGAAAGGATGAGAGAATGGATTCCTTTTTAGCTTTCAAATTTTAGAAGGGAAAATATCGAATAAACTATTTTTGGAGGGGAAACCCTGTGCCAGTGTACTGTCTATAATTATAGATAGATATCTCCAATCTGATAGTTTGGTTTGGTTTGGGTTTTAATATTTGCTTTTATCATAGTACCAAAGGTAAAGTAAGGTAATATCAGACTAAATAAGTTAAGGGAGTTAGTATGATGTCATTTTCTAAAGAAGTCTCAAATGGTCATATAGCCCGGACTACCGTACCGGTACTCGATGTGCGTGGTGGCAAGCGGCTCACCCTGCCAATTAGTGCGGCCTGATGCAGGATGTGGTTTCACTATGTTGATTGGACCGTCCTCAGCCGTACCGCAACGGGGCTCCGCCATAAAGACCCCGCTCTTCTTCAGCTCCCAGGAATTTTATCTACCTACTCCCCCCACTAACCCACCCTCTACGACCTCCCAAGCAGCGGAGAACAGAAGATACCTCGATCTTTCTCTGAAAATACCGTCTCTTTTAACGTTTTCAAGGCACCGAACAACCTCATTTTTGCAACCGATTGGGCTGAAATCCCAGCGCAGCTAGCTCCACTGGGGCCCAAGTTACAGCATAAGGACCCTCAAGATCGCCGGTTCGAAAGAAAAAGAGGACGAAAGATATCATTGGATGTCTCTGTATTGGACTGGGCAAGGGTGCGAGTTCGGGTGTGACGGATGATGGTTAGGAGGAAAGGGATCTCGGGGAACCCCCGAAAAGTTTTCGGAGATGTACGTGTCTACAAGGATGAGAATCTCACCCTAAATTATCTGCTGACACACGTGTATCTAGATACGGTATCTAACTTACTCGTTTCCTTAAATATTGAGGCAATCTTACAAGAGTCAACGATCTATTAGAGGAGACAAAGGTCCGGCACGATGGTAGATAGGTCAGAGTTAAGAGATGTTCATGGCGCAACACGAGTGGACAAAGGCACAAGATGAGGGCAAATCGGGGCTTGTGTTGACGGCTTTGGTATGGGCCTGTCATTCGGAACCGCCACTACAGGCGCATCTGCTTGGCCACTCCCTGGCGGTCGGGCTGCAACGGAGTTCAGTGTTAGCAATGTTCCCTCGGCATTGACACTGTCAGGCTGCTTCCAAGGACTTATTGCTGTGGATAGGAAGCTTTGAATTTCCGCTTGATCCATTTCAATATCCAAGAGTATCTTTCCGCTCAACCCACCCTTTTCAGTAGACCTCGCTCGGTAATCGTGGAAGCCTACTTAAGCTCTCTGGGTTCTCCGCCAGCCAGGCCCTTTCCACCGGTCCCTCCCCCAGACTCCGAGAGACACACCCTTTCTCAAATATCCTTTTGTATATCGGAGCCAACTCGATCGAAAGGGAGTTCCCGGATGGCACGAAATCGTTTGCGCTGGGAATGTTTGAGGAGGACAGTAACCACGATCCCGTTACATCACCTTCAAAAGAGACAGAGTTTTGGAATGGTTCTTTCGGTAATCATCCTCCGTTTGCTCGACTACACTGCGCACCCTCTTCAAAACTGTTGCTTTGGCGGAGATGAAAGGTTTTTATATCGACCAAACGGTTTCACGGGAAACACATCATGTGGGCTGCTGAGCATGGACATGAGGGAGCGGTGGGGATACTACTCGGACGGGAAAATGTCGACCCTGACAAGCCATGCGAATGGAGAAAACGTCACTCTTGTCTGCCGCTTGGAATGGGGGTGAGGGGGTGGGCAAAGTGTTACTGGGCGGGATGATCTCAACCCCCGCGGGTCAGATAGTGGCCGAGCACCATCCTCGCTTGCCGCTCAGAGTGGACACCAGGAAGTTGTTAGAATACTACCTAGGCAGAAAACTATCGACCACGGCGGGCCGGATCGCCCTGGCCGAGCGCCACTCTCGTTTGCCACTGGGAATGGACATGGAAGAACGGTGGCGTTAATACGATCCAGGAAACACGCAACCCCCGCCACGGTTTGGGGCCGGGAGGCGTCGCCTTCGGGTGTGGGCGGCATGTACGACACTTCCGTAACAGCTTAGTAGATATCCACCGTCGCCACCATTCAGTTCTTCTCACTTCGACTTGACTTCCCCACGCGTAGGAATCGTTCTCTTTCCTTCACTTCCCCTCCGGATCCAAGCCGGCCCCGGGTAATTTGGCAGCGCCCTTTGCTATAGTTTGTCGAAGGAACTTCCGTGCGATGGGAATGTATGTATAAGTCATCGTTCCCGTACGGACCTCTTTCTAGAGATCTTTGTGCGGTCGAGAGGGATTAATGAGTCGGTATATAATTTGTCACTCTGAGTCCTCCCGGTATCGCACCCAATCTACCTCGTTTCCCTCTGTTCGAAATTCTCGTTTGGGAAATTTTCTTTTTCTATGATTTCTTCACCTTATCCGCCCTGTATAACGCGTTGCATTGTGCTTTGGGTGTTTATATGGAGGTAGAAATGCAGCGCAAGGACTCCCGACACAATTAGGAACGGTGCAGGGACTAGGTCTTAGCTAGGACGGAGGACTGTCGCCTCAAAAGATGTGTATATATGGCTTAATGGATACTTTCCGCCAGCATAACCAGAAATACTCCAAGACGAAGAAGGGCCAGGGCGGACACAATACAAAGCTATCACAAGAAGACAATGGCTAGCAACTTCACAGAGAGTGTTTGTCTAAACGTATGTATACCCGGGCCCGGAGAGCCCAGCACCAGAGTCAAATTCTAAAACAGGAAAGAAAAACCTCTTGGGGATGACGACCCTGGGGGGTCAGCAGGTATAAACCGGGTTCACAACCAAAGCATTCGATCACTGTAAGCTGTGGGAGTGTTGGGGGTTCTGGCCGGCTTGCCGGTGGTGAAATACCCAGCCGATGACAAATACTTTCACGGCACGCACCAAATTTTTGGAGGCTGAGCGAGTGATCCCGGGTGATGGAATTAGTGCCAAGTGCTTTCCGTTAGTTGGGATAAGCACCGAAGAAAGGATTGGACGAACAAGGGAAGGGAGGACTGGATGGAGGTACTTATTTGAGTGAAATCCTCGATGGAGAGTGTATGACTCATGTTCCGTTTTGATAATCTTATCCCCCTTGTTTCTTAGCGTACTTAAGGGAGGGGCTGGCCTGGGGGTAAACAGGCACACCGCATATATATGCATTTTTTTTTGGTAGATACGAACCGTGAATAGAGCCTTAGGAAAAATTTCTAGCATCGTGTTTGTATTCGCGGGGTTGGTGCCGTGCGCCTGTTTGGTCTACCAGGCTCACGGCGGAAGGGGGGGGGGGGTGGAAAAATGGGATATAGAAGATCTCAGCCTGCTGCCTCCTTCGGAGCTCCGTTACCGCAAGAGCTCGGACGAATGTGTAACGAATGCTAAAGGTTTACCTGTACTGAGGCACCCAGATACCGCAAGAGCTCGGATAATTGGACCATGTGCTAGGGGGTTGGGCTTGCTTCTCCTAAAAAGGTCTGGTTTTCCTTCCACCCCCTCCACTCGCCCCGGAGAGCAGACTTTCTAGTGCGCTCCCCTCCCCTTTCCCAGGGGAGGGGTTCCAGACTATAACACATATCACATGGTCCATATAACATACACTCTGTCCATCTCCTGCTTCTCCCACCCAGCATTGAGGATCTAATTCTAAAGTTGACACATCTCACCGGGATCATCGCCTGAGGGTATGACGCGATGGGCCTTGGGGACTTGGTCTTTCCGGGTCCCCGGGTTGGGTTCTCCTCTGGAACGGTGTCCACCCGGGGGCGGAATAAAAAAGAAATACATCCCCAGAGTGGGGGCGGGGGATGGAGTGATGGGGGAGGAACTAGCGCCTGGTGCAAGACGTTGGCCTGTAGGCCCTTCTCCGATACCCGAATACGCCCTTCTACCCTCTCCCACTGTTTGCACCCGTAGCAAGCTTAAAGGAGGATGTAGTGCGGGGATATGTAAGCCTTCTTTCTCCTAGTGGGTGGCAAGTTCTTGAAAAGTAGTTTGCAGCGCAGTAGGTGTAAATTAGCACCTTTCGCAGGAATTCATCGCCTTCATTAATATATTCCCTGGAA